ATACTACATGCACTAGTACATTGTTTATAGACATGTTTTATAAATCATTATAGAATTACGGAACAAATAATTTACGTTACCATCTTTTAGGTTCATTTTATTATTTCCACAAGCTTTTATCCATAAATCCGCAAGTATTGAATCTGTAGGAAATCTATGCAAGTGAATATCCTTGTTCATCTTGTACCCACTCCGATTTCCACACGATTTGACCGCACATGATGGCATTTTTTCAATATTCTATTCGACTGTTCAATTCTGTCGTGTTTTTAAATTTAAACATTACGTCGCCATATTGCAACATGGCCGAAAGTGGGCTACATGCGCAGAACGAATCAAAACGCGCCTGCCTCAAGAACACACCTTGTTTTCTTACATCATGGTTGCTTATTCTTAGGATCGTCTTAAGAATTTGCTATCCCTCTCTATCCCATATTTCCAGTCCTTGTCTTGTACAGGAAACAGAGACTTAAGGAAATGTTTAAAACGATCTTAAGAATAAGCAATAACTCTGAATACCGGCCATAGACTCATTAGTCGTTTTGAATTCTGCCGAAATCTGTAATCTGAAATTAACACAAACTCAAGCTGGCTCAGTTTCCTTGTCCCAAGCTATATGTATAAAACATGGAATTCTGGTTCATTTATCATGCTTTCACTGTATTTCGACCATTGTCGGTCGTAAAAAAGGTCAAGTGTTTCAATATCAATATTCCAGGCATTTAAGCATTGTGTAAGTATAGTTTGTCTATGTTCATGTGTATGTCTCCTCCCGGTACAAAGTGCAAATTGAGCATATAATGACGCAATATGAAATCTTGTGTAATATAATGTATTGTTAATAACATAACTTTGCACTGCTCGCGAGGTCCATCCATCTGTGATAAATGTCAATGGGTAATATTTGTTGCTTGTAAATCCACAGATATTTGTTCCTTTAATTGTACTTTTAGATTTTCGTACATTTTGAGGATTATTATTCGCAAAGAAGTTGTTCGACACGGAATTTGATATTTCGGTTCTGGAATTTTTAATAATTCCCGAAAATCAACATCTTCTATGATGCTGTATGGTTGCAAATCTAAAACCATCATACAAACAATTGTATTTGTTAAATCTTTTGCACCCGATGAGTCATTGCTCAAGTATTTCGTCTTCTCATCGTTAGTGAATCTTTAATTTGATCTTTTTTCTTCAAATGGTTGGTGAAATGATGAGAGGAAATGGCATATAAACTATTTAGAGCTGTTACCTGCCCTTATAACGCTCAAATGTTTTGTATCGCCGTTGCGTCATTACGAAATCTTATTAATACCTAATAACACGATGACAAATTGCGTATAAAAATAAGACTGGAAGAATTCAGTTTCCAATTTTGAGCGATTTATATGTAATAGCATATTTAAAGAGAGGTCACACCGACAGTGCAGCCAACATTATGATAGACTCGACTGCTAAATCTATCATAAAGCAGTATGAGTCCTCACTGAGGCAATGGTGGTGGTTTACAAGGAGAAGAACTTATGATGTGCATATCACAGATAGACATAAACCAATAGAATTTCTCACTGAAAGATATCTCAACGGAGCAAAATATGGAACGCTGAATTCAGATAGATCTTTTATAGCACTCATCACGAAATTCGAAAAGGAGGAATGCATAAGTTGGTTTATGGTCAATATCCACAGAGCGTGCTGTGCAAGTGTACAGTGCGGCGCGACGTTCTTCGAACCGGATTTTTCAACCAGAGCTGTAAATTAAGTTTACAGCACATACTAAAAACGTGTAAAAGCCGGAGACTTCTAGGGGCCCCAGTGAAATTTTATCGAAACTCGGGAGATCGAGAACCAAAAGTACGAGTCAAACCACCTGCTATTCACTTTCAGATAGGTTTTTAAGTCTTGAAAGATCAACTTTATGGCCTTTGCGTCGTTCCTCAAAAAATTCGCAGCCAACGAATGTTTTTCCAAACGCCGCATGCGAAGTTTCTGTCGGGGATTCTTTCAATTTGCAAATAACAAGTATAGTAATATACTAAAATTGATAATTGTTATTTTTTTAAATCGTATTCACTTTCTTCAATTTTAAATATAATTAAAACAGTTATAAATAAAGAAATCATTGAGATATTTATTTCATCATTTCATCATGGGTTGTTACGTGTTATTGTTTCTCATCGGAACGTGTATGTAAACAATTTAATTAATACTTTATGTTAATCATATGAATTCCCGCAAATGCAATTGTTGATCCTTTGTGTTGTCTATAATAATAGATAGATAGTAAATGATTCTAAATTCATGTACTAATAAGCAACTAATAGGATATGCAATGTACGGCATTCATCTCTTTTTATAATACACAAGGTGCTCGTGGTAATAGTGGGCTAACATTTATTTTGAATCTTATGAGGGTTAGTCCAAATTTGTTATACGATACTTGCACGGTTCAAGGAGACGCATCTTTTGCTGGGAACCAATTTCTTGTACGTTATTATTTTAATGATATACGATGGCCAAGTTTTTTAAATGAGACTGCATACATTTTCTTTTATACCATATCCTTCATGTATGTCGAATTGCTTGATTAGATTTTGAGATGTTCAATTCAAGAAGTTACTAATTTTTGGTAAGTGGGAACGGGAAGTATAGCAGGGAGTGGTAAACCCACTTGAAATAAATACGTATGGTCTGAGTTGTAAACGGCAGATCGATAGGACACCGTTATTGTAGAAAAGTATAGTACTTTGGACTTGGACCTGCCGTTCGCAACCCCAAATGTGAGAAAACGGCTTGCTCTTCAACAACCATTGAACCAAGTACAGCAGGTCCTTTTTATTACTATTTTCTGTTTTCGGTATGACTGAACATTGTTCATTCTCGCACTTAATAATTATTTAAACTTTTAATGCACATAGGTAAAGCAATGTATGAAATTGTGGAGTAATAAAATTAAAATATAAAAGAATAGTAAAATAAATAACGTTCCGTCGAAGAATACCAACCTAAAGTTGTGTGGAATATTGAATTGTTTTTCCTTCCGAGGATTATTTCCTGAAATATATGCGAATAATCGATTTTGCCATTTTTTTAAAAAAAAGTATTGAGTGTTGTACGATGTTAGTCCTATTAGTTACTTATTAGAACATCGTTTAGAATACCTAACGATCATTTATTATCTATATATTCTTAGATAACAAAAAGGATCAACAATTATACGTACGAGAATCTTTAATAGACGATATCTTTAATATACGATATGAAAATGTTTACATACACGTTCCTTTGATATTTCTATAAATGATAAAGAAAAAAAAGTATCGTGTAAAAACACATGATGAAAGTAATTTGTTAATTATATCTGTTCTTAAGAAAAAATTAAATATTAATTACAAATAGAATTAAAATTATGGTGAGGGCGATCAGATTGCAAAAATATTTCATGCCGAGCAGCACCGCGTAAGAACCATAGTTAGAACCTTCACATGGCAAGATACGGCAGTGGTTGTCCCGGGAAATGCACGGTCGGGCCGAAGAACGTCGCGCCGCACCGCATCGCGAGCTCTATGGGGATTAACCATTATGTGGGGCATATTCAGAAACAGATCACCGAAGGCAAAATCTAGGACTATTTGGAATGTTTGAAAGATTCAGTTCAAGATTATATTAAAAATTTAACACACAAAAGTAAAATGAAGCTCAAAGAATTGGCTCAGAAAACAGTCACCTTACTAAAGCTAGTCACAGCACGTCGCTTTCAAATGATGGAACTATTCGACATACATAATATTAAGAAAAAGGAAACGGCAATTGAAATAATGGTACCGGATTTAATCAAAACTTCACATCCAGTGAGATTTCAGCCTAATAATATATTACCTTCCTTCAAGGAAAACAAAGTGTGTAGTAAGAACCATATTAGAATACCCCGATTGTACTAAGGAACTTCGAGGATACCATACGAGTCTTTTCATTTCAACAACGAAACGCCATACACTAATAACGTTTCAAACTCTTGCACATTGGATAAAGTCACTCCTAAAGAAAGCAGGGGTGGATACTTCAAAGTTTACTGCGTACAGTGCAAAACATGCGGCAATCTCTAAAGCAGAGAAAAACGGTGTGAATATCGACACTATCCGACGTACAGCGGGATGGTCAACAAAATCAAAAGTGTTTGCTAGGTTTTATAATAGGCCGATAGAAGATAAGTATGAAACATTTGTTTGTACAACCCTCTCAAGTTAATAAAGAATTGTAACCGTACAAATTTCCCGGTTGTACCGGTTACATATGCCCTCACGCGTAAGAATATTCGAGAAGGTCCGAGGGCCTTACGCAGGCGCAGATTCCGTAGGTTACGTAACCGCAGGATCTACGATCGATCGCGTAACCGACCGATCACTCCGAATCCGTACACCGCGCAGATAGCATAGTGTGAGAGTATAGAGAGTAATCTAGGAAAGGTCCGTCCAGACCATAGAAATTTAGATATCTCATAAATGATTGTGATAATTGCGATTCGTCACCGTAAATTAGATCAAAGTTCCGAGTGTGATTGAAGACGTGCGAGAGTGGCCACTGCGAATGGTATAAGTATATCCTACCAGCGTGCGAAGGGTATCGAGGACTTCTTACGTAACCGATTTGTAAGTCGATCTATCTCTATCTGCGCCTTATAACCGCGAGTACGTATATTGTGCATTATTGTATTTAAAGAGCCACTAGTCTGGCACCGTACTGCTATACAATTTCTTGTGATATTCACCATTCTAGTCCGAATTTCATGAGCCAGAAAGACTGATTCGTGTCTAATGTGTTAAATATATTTTTTGTCATTTATATATTTCATTTACCAAATTACTGATTTCCAATCAACCTCGAGTCCTCCTCCCAAGGAGACGCGAACTCCTGCCTCCCGAATACACCGGCGGAGTATTCGGTTATAGAATACTAGTAAGTTAAAACAAAAATGAAAACAAACGTGACACGTTATTCATTATTATATTTAGTCAGTGCAAATGTTACGTCCCGTATCGCGGGTTCTTGCCTATGTTAAAGTGCTTAAGCTCATCTTGACCTGATTATCTAGCTTAAGGGAATAGGTAATGGATAGAGAGGGATTGATACGGTAATTTAGTTCAAATACAGTTTATATTCTTCAATACTATTATTGCATACTAGTTGCTCGAACTTAGTCCAGTCAGCGGTATCGCGAGTCGGTGGCCTGAGTGCTAACACTAGTCAGTCGCGATACTATGTGTCGTAACTTCGCGGGTTCCCAGCGGCTCTAGACAATGCGTTCGTCCCCCGTGTAAGCCGTTTAAGAATCTTGCGATTCGGGGAAACAGCTGAACGATGCCTTGAGAGCGATCAGGACCCGGACTCGTGGGTAAAGAGTTCGATACCGAACTAACTGTATGGGCCTTGATGGCCAGGCTTTATAGCCAAAAAGATAAAGAGTCAGCGCCATATTTTCCTTTAATCATTTCAACATATCCTGGTCTTCAGACGCATCTCAAGATGGCTTAGTTATGTCGAAATGCTTAGTCGCCATTTCGACATGTTTTACATTTCGAGCGCATCTAAGGCCAATGACTTACCGTGTCGAAATGATTATTCGCCACATTTCGATACTCGCTTACTGTTGCCGAGCGTGCATATTGCGAAAGCGACAAATGAAAAAGAATCCAGCCCTTTCATAGGGCTATAATACAAAAACTTCTTGAAATAATGTTTACGGTAAACCTATTTTATGTAGTCATCCTGTTTTATAATAAAACAGCTTGACTTTCAAATCTCATAAGCACCTCTTCGTACAGAAAAGTTATGTACACCATGTCATAGTAAATCTCTAATACAACTCCAGGAAAGTCATGAAATCCACCGTAGCATATGCCAGAACCTTCGTAGAAGAGATCTACCCTATTCAGTTCCATCGTAGCAGAGACAAGAACCTCCAGTTCCACCGTAGCATGCACACAATATAGGCATTATCACAGACGAGATATGCGAGTAGATATACAGGATGTCCCAGAACTAGTGTTAGGTCTTGAAATGGGGAGGAGCCATGATGATTTTAAACAACTTTTTCCTTTGCAAAAAAGTTGTCCGAGGCGTGGTTGTCGAGTTATTAACAAAAATTACCGACCAACCAGAGCGTTCGTATACAAGGCGGGCAGGAGCGCGATAACCGCCTCGTGCGTTGCCGCGGCCCGTATGCCACGCTCGTGACGAAAACATAGGATTAAAACAAAACTTACATGCAAGAGCAACTAAGAAATTGTTTAAATATTACAGAAACAAAGCAATTAGTCGTTAGTTACGTTCACTGAATAAATGCAACATGAATTGAAGAGAATTAGAGTTTAACTTAATCGTTCCTCTTTAAGTTCACCTGCTCCTAGAAGGACGTCACTAGGTCAATGTGCCGAAACCCGGTACTTGAAGATAAAACACATGGGCAACAGTGATGTTTAGAGCAGGTCACTGACAGATATGGCCATGTGATTTAGTTTCGAGTGTCAGACTTCGACACATTGACCTACTGAAATTCTTTTAGGAGCAGATGAACTTTAAGACGAACGACTAATTTCAACTCTAATTCTCTTCCCATTTTTTTATAATCTTAGGTACTCTGTAATTTATAAAGT